TAGGGTTCAACTCCGCGCGTACCTCAGTTTCAGGCTTGATTCCCCCCGCCCCCCCAATCTGGGTCCATGCCGGAGGCAACCAATCCATCTCTCTCTCTCTCTCTTTCTCTCCTCCTCCTCCCACCCTTATATTCTCTCTCTGAAAAGCAATGGAAAAAATATCATCCCATCCGGGTTCAACTCCGCGCGGACCTCAGTTTCAGACTTGATTCCCCCTTCCCCCCCCAATCTGGGTCCATGCCAGAGGCAACCAATCCATCTCTCTCTCTCTCTCTCTCTCTCTCTCCCTCCCTCCCTTCCTCCCTCTCTAAAAGTCAATGGGAAAATATCCTGGGATGCGAAGGGGTCCCCGAGGGTTTCAGAGAGTTTAGGGGTGTCTCCCGCCAGGGTGTGAAGGCGGCATCCTCAGGAACCCTGGCTCACAGTCTAAGACCCACGGGGCCATGTAGGTGCCCAACTTCTACATAAGAGGGTGGCGGCCAGACGCTGACAGGGTCCCGCGTGGGATGGAGGGGAGCCCGGGGCCTGGGCTGCAGCCCCCCCAACCCCCCAGGCTGGGAGGAGGCACACCTGGCCCGGGTGGCCCCGGGTGGCCCTGGGTCATCTCCGTCCCGGAAGCAGCCAGCGGCTGTGCCTGTGTGGACCACGCACCTGCCCCCTCACGGCAGGGAGGACGAGGGGCGCACCTGGGCTCTGACCCCCTCCCTGTAACAACCCTACTGCGCGGACACATCCACAGCCTTTGTTGTCACAGAGAAAGCAGCTGAGGTTCAGAGAGGTGCAGCCACCTGCCTAAGGTCACACAGCCCACAGGGAGTTTGTCAGCACACGCACCAGAGCTCTCCACACCCAGAACCCCGGCTTGGCCAAACGTTCCGGAGTCACCCACCCCCCCGCCCTGGGGTGCAGAGGAGGCTGTTTTTTTCGGGGGGAGGGTCCCGGCGAGGGGACACGGATCTGACGGGGCGCCTCCCCTCAGGGGCCCGCGGCTCGGAGGCCGAGCACCGCCTGTTTGAGCGGCTGTTCCAGGACTACAACGAGATCATCCGGCCCGTGGCCAACGTGTCCGACGCCGTCATCATCCAGTTCGAGGTGTCCATGTCCCAGCTGGTGAAGGTGGTGAGTGCGGGGCTGTGTCCGTGTCCGTGGCGCGGGGGTGCGGGGCCGTGGCCGTGGCTGTGGGGCCGCGGGGGAGGCCTCCCCAGGGCCCGGCTGTGGCCCTGCACCCACCCCTCCTCCTCTCCCTTTCCAGGATGAAGTCAACCAGATCATGGAGACCAATTTGTGGCTCAAGCAAGTAAGTGGCCAGGCCCTGCGCGCTGCTGCCCCCTGGTGGTGACCGCTCTGCTGGCTTCTTTTCTGTGGACCCGGCCTGGGGCCCATTGAGTGTTGGGCCTGGGGCCCAGGGTGTACCCCCCGGCTCCCCGCCCCCAGCACTGCAGGGCCTGGTCCCCCAAGCCCAGATGGGTCAGACCGGGCCTGCAGGCCTGGCCCCCAGCTCTACGGTGGGCTAAGACCACCTCCTTCCCTCCCTCTTCCCAAAAACTCCTCCTGAAGTCGGAATCAGATGCTGGGGTCCTTGTTGGCTGGGGAGGTGGGGGCCCCCAGCTCCGAGGGAGGACAAAGACCTCGTCTCCCCCATGCCCTCCCCAGGGAGGCCCGGCCGAGACCTGGACGGATAACACTCCGGCCTGACCGCGACCTTCCACCCACCCGGCTGCTGGCAAACCCCTCTAGGCGCCTGGGAAGCCGGGAGGGCCCAGTGCCCACGCGGTGCCCACACGGTGCCCCCACGGCACACGCTCTCCCCTCAGGGGCTCGGGACCAGGTCTCCCAGTCTCTGCACCCAGCACTTCTTGGGCCCCAGGGGGTCGTGGGTGCTCCCCCCAAAGCCCTACAGACACCAGCCCCGCTCAACCTGGGGGCTGTGTGTGTCTGCCACCCTGTTTGGGGGGCCTGGTGGGGAAGGACGTCAACTCCCGAGCTCAGCCCGGCCGGTGTGGCTCAGTGGTTGAGCCTTGACCTAGGAACCAGGAGTTCACAGTTCAATTCCCGGTCAAGGGCACAGGCCTGGGTTGTGGGCTCAATCCCCAGTGTCCCCCCCCACCCCCAGATCTGGAACGACTACAAGCTGAAGTGGGACCCCGCGGACTATGACGGGGCGGAGTTCCTGCGCGTCCCCGCCCAGAAGATCTGGAAGCCGGACATCGTGCTCTACAACAAGTAAGGGGGCGCCCGCCTTCCGCCTTTCCCTCTCCGACGATGGGGGTAGAGACCCCTGGCTCCCCCACAGGCGTTTGCTGAGCACCCACTGCGCCTGCCTCGGGAGGTGGCTGTGCGTCGGGGCAGACAGGCCTGGCTGTAATATCCAAACGTGCAAACGCAGGTCAGAGCGAGGGCGGGGAGGGGGACTCCATGGGGGGGTGACCCCTGCCACCACTGCCCTCCCCGGGACCGACCGACCGTTCCTGCAGGTCAGGAAGGAGGCGATCTGCTGGCCTGATGACCAGCCCTGCCCCTGCCCCTCCCTCCCCACCTGCTTCAGGGAGCCTCTGAGGTCACTCCCCGGCTGTTCTTTCTTTGTTCGTTTGTTTTAAATATATTTGTATTGGTTTCAGAGAGGAAGGGAGAGAGAGAGAGAGAGAGAGAGAAGCATCCACGATGAGAGAGCATCATGGACCGGCTGCCTCCTGCACGCCCCACACTGGGGATGGAGCCCACAACCCGGGCCTGTGCCCTGACCGGAATCGAACCCGGGACCCTTCAGTCCGCAGGCCGGCGCTCTATCCACTGAGCCACACCGGCCGTTCTGAACCTGCCAGTGGCGGCACCCGTCTTTCCTAGAAAGCGGACACTCCCACACGTCCGCTCCAGGACGAGGCGGACATGGGTGTTCACTGATCGTTGACAGTATGTGCCGGTCCGCTCCTGGGTGTGGGAGACATCACTTCCCACCGGTGCCCTATCTCTAGTCGTGCTGTTCGGCGTTTTCCCTATAGATGTGGTCCGATCTGACCTTAATGAGTAAAAATTAAAAAGAGCATTTTGTGTTTAGGTTTTTACGCCGTAGTCAGACACACGGATATATTTCACTGTGAATGTCAGGGCTGGGGAACTCTGTTTTCGGCTGCATCCCGCTTTCTGGTCATTGGCTAAAAGGAGGGGATCTTTACCCACTCCGAGAATTGGTCCGTGTTTTATTTCCTGTTTTCTCAAGGAAAAAAAAAACAACCATAACATTCAAAATTGCATGACTCTACCCGATCGGTGTGGGTGGCTCAGGGGTTGAGTGTCCACCTAGGAACCAGGAGGTCAGGGTTCGATTCCCGCATCAGGGCACCTGCCCGGGTGGCGGGCTCCATCCCCACTGCGGGGCGTGCAGGAGGCCACCGATCCATGATTCCTTCATTGATGTTTCTGTCTTTCCTCTCCCTTTCTCTCTGACATCAATAAAAATGTACTCTCTCATCGTGGATCTCTCTCTCTCTCTCTCTCTCTCTCTCTCTCTCTCTCTCCCTCCCCTTCCTCTCTGAAATCAATTTTTAAAAAATTAAAAAAACAAACAAAGAGCACAGGCACAATTTTTAATCTCACGACTTAAATGTCGCAGCGGTTTCCTTCCCGGAGATCTCGGGCGAACGGGGACCGTCAGGATGTGTGCTCGCCACGGCACCGAGGGACGCGCTGGGCGCTTCAGACTGGGTTTGGGGGAAGGAGAGCGCAGAAGTCATTTCCTTAGACCCTGAGGCCGGAAAGAACATTTAGAGAAAAGCATCCAGCTCGTCTCTTCCCGTCAGAACTCGGGCCTCCCTGGAGGGTTTCTCTGTGTTTACGTTTTTTTTAAAAAATATATATTTTTTAATTGATTTTTTACAGAGAGGAAGGGAGAGACATAGAGAGTTAGAAACATCGACGAGAGAGAAGCATCCATCAGCTGCCTCCTGCACGCCCCCCACTGGGGATGTGCCCACAACCCAGGTCCATGCCCTTGACCGGAATCGAACCCAGGACCCTTCAGTCCGCAGACCGACGCTCTATCCACTGAGCCAAACCGGTTTCGGCTAAATATACTTTTTTTAAAAATCAATAGGAAACATCCTCTGGTGAGGATTACAAGAACACGAATGCCGCCACGCTCTGTCCTACCCTCCGCCCGCTCCCCCCGTGGGAGCCCTCAGCTCCTGTGAGGGCCACAGCTCAGCTGCTCATCTGACTGACCCCCCTGCTCAGTGCACAGTCGCTCAGAGGCACCCCCGTCCCCCCGTCTCCCCTCCGCCCGCTGTCCTCGCCGTCAGCCGTCTCCTGGTCGCCCTGTGACCGGAGATCGTCCTTTATTTCCTGCTCATTCAGTCAGTCAGCGGATGCTCACCCAGGGCCCCTCTGTGGCTGGCGCTGAGCCCGATCCCAGGCCCAGGCCCAGGTCCTCTCTGCCCCCTGGTGGCAGAGACAGGCTGCTGACCCTGCCGGTCAGCACACAGGCCTCCGGGGACCGGGATCCCTGGGAAACAGCGGGGACGTGCGTGGCCTCGGAGCCCACGGGGTTAGGCGCCTCCTCAACTGGGGACCTGAGTCCTGGGTGGTCACGGCTCTGCCACCAGCTCTGCAGCTCCATCCTGTTCCCTGGGCTTTCGTTTCCTCTTCAGTAAAATCAGGGGGTCGGCCCGGCCGGCGTGGCTCCGTGGTTGAGCGTTGGTTGACCCATGAACTGGGAGGTCACGGTTCGATCCCCGGTCAGGGCACAGGCCCGGGTTGCGAGCTCCATCCCCATCCCCAGTGTGGGGCGTGCAGGAGGCAGTCAGTAAATGATTCTCATCATTGGTGTCTCTCTCTCTCTCTCTCCCTTCCTCTCTGAAATCAATAAAATATATTTTTTAAAAGTAGCCATAGACAGCCCTAGCCGGTGTGGCTCAGTGGACAGAGCGTCGGCCCCCAGACTAAAGGGTCCGGGTTCGATTCCGGTCCAGGGCACGTAGCTTGGTGGCGGGCTCCCTCCCCGGCCGTGGTCAGGGGCATGTGGGGGTGGCAACCCATGATGTGTCTCTCTCTGCGTCTCTCCCCCTCCCTTCCACTCGCTCTAAAAATCAATGGGAAAATATCCCCGGGTGAGGATTAACAGACAAACCAAAAAGTCGCCATAGGCCGTAGACGAGTGGGGATGGCTGTGTGTTCCGGTAAGAATTCACTTACAGACCCGGCTGGTGTGGCTCAGGGGTTGAGCATCCACTTAGGAACCTGCCTCCGGGCTGACAACGTTCGTCCTGTTTCTCTCCTTCAAGGGAAGGGGCACTGGGGGTGTCTCGATGCAACAGGCGTTGTGTGCGGGGGGATGAGCCAGCGACCCCCTCAAGGCGCGATGAGGGTGTCAGACGGTGTGTGTGGCCGGGGCAGGGAGCGGGGGGGAGAGTCTGGGGCTCCGGGATCCCCCTCGGGATGTGGGTGGACATCCCGGCGCTCTGAGCTCGACCCACATGTGCCGTGACCGGGCCCCGCGTCTCTCCCCGCAGCGCCATGGGCGACTTCCAGGTGGACGACAAGACCAAAGCCCTGGTCAAGCACACGGGCGAGGTGACCTGGATCCCCCCGGCCATCTTCAAGAGCTCCTGCAAGATCGACGTCACCTACTTCCCCTTCGACTACCAGAACTGCACCATGAAGTTCGGCTCCTGGTCCTACGACAAGGCCAAGATCGAGCTGGTCCTGGTGGGCTCCTCCATGAACCTCAAGGACTACTGGGAGAGCGGCGAGTGGGCCATCATCCACGCCCCCGGCTACAAGCACGACATCAAGTACAACTGCTGCGAGGAGATCTACCAGGACATCACCTACTCGCTGTATATCCGGCGCCTGCCGCTCTTCTACACCATCAACCTGATCATCCCCTGCCTGCTCATCTCCTTCCTCACCGTGCTCGTCTTCTACCTGCCCTCCGACTGCGGCGAGAAGGTCACGCTCTGCATCTCCGTGCTGCTCTCCCTCACCGTCTTCCTGCTGGTCATCACCGAGACCATCCCGTCCACCTCGCTGGTCATCCCGCTCATCGGCGAGTACCTGCTCTTCACCATGATCTTCGTCACCCTGTCCATCGTCATCACGGTCTTCGTGCTCAACGTGCACTACCGGACGCCCACCACGCACACCATGCCCGCCTGGGTGAAGGCCGTGTTCCTGCACACGCTGCCCCGGGTCATGTTCATGGCCAGGCCGGCGGGCGGCGAGGGCGGCGGCGGT